GATATCAGTTCACTCCGAGGCAGGCTTTTGCCCCCTGGTTGCGTGCGCACCTGGTGTTGTTTGTACACAAGAAACCTGTCTGCAGTCTGACATAGAAAATGTTGATTTTGAAAGGAAACTAAAGGTTTTCTGACAACTCTGAAGGAGTGTACTCAGTTATGCTGAGCACTGTAAGAGTTCTCTTAAATTGCTAACATACAATTTTTCCAAAATAAATGCACTAAATTCTCTGACCAAGTTCCCTTAAAAGTCTCCTCTGTTAAAGAAGGTAGAGTTGGATCCAGAGTGGCAGTAATAGTTTTTCACAGTGTCAGTGTGTGTTTATCTGAGTGTAAACGCCTCTCTGCTCGTGTGTCTCATGCAAATCGGTTGCACAGACACACTGCGGCACACCTTGCTGGGAGACATTTGTCAGTGTGTGTTTGTCACTTGCACTTCCCACAACATGTCACAACACTATTTGACTTTTGGTTTGACATGTGAGACCCTCACACACAATGCAGGTTTTCCAATCAGCATCTCTCAGCCCCTGCACGGGCCCTCTTGGCCTGAATTGAAGGTGGAGGAGAAGGAGGAGGAGGAGGCAAGCCCTGGGGCCCAGGGACTCGACCCCTGCAGCCTGCTGCACCGTCTCCACGCTGATGGTCCCTTTACACTTCTCAGCAGCTGTCAATCAAATGCTGCAGATGGAAAGTGTGGGGAAAGGACACGGTAGGAGTTTGACAGGTTGTGTTTAAATTTGTTTTAAGATGACATCTGTACACTGTCGCTTTAAGTTACAGTTTTGTAACGTTTACACAGAGTCCACATTAACTCCACAGGTTGAGATTGCTCATCATTTCAATTATTCCCTCCCTTTTCTGCAGATTTTCTCTTTATTTCATGCCGCAAAGTGTACAGCTTTCTTCATACTTGAAAGTAAAATGTTGTACTTCTTTAGAATTAGAACAGGACTTGGACTCAAGCACTGGTGACTTGGACTGGGACTAGAGCAGTAACTGCACCTGCACTTTTGAGAGGGAAAGGCTCCTCTGATTTATTCATTTTCTTATAACACATTTTCTTTTTTTGTATGTTTTTTTATAAGGGCCAAGTATTTTGTTTCAGTTTTGAGCAAGGTTTGACATTTGTGATCACCCATGAGGGCATTTACTCGTCTTGTTCTGCAAAAAGCCAAAGACTTGTTCTGCAACAGCTCCTGGCAGGATGTACAAAAGCTACCATGAATAATTTAACTTTCAAAGATTTTAGAGTAACTGCAAAAGCGAGAGCAGAGCAACAATCAAGGAGAAGACAGAGACATCCTAAAACTTTAACAAACATCTGTCGAGGAAAAGTCAAGTAACTAACCCCCTGATATACAGTATGATGTTTTGGTTGGTTAAAATATAAACTTTTAGTAAGTGGGCTGCAGTTATCTTTAAATAACTGTTTTGCTAGTTTGACACGTGACGCCTGATTAGCTCAGCATTGGTGTAATACTCAGGTTTTCTCTGCGAGTCTTAGAGTAAGTAAGTGATGTAATGTCGTGTTGGGTAAACATTTACTTCTTAAATGACTAAAATAATCCTGAGAGCACAATGCTGAAATGTTGTTCTGCTCTTTGTCCACAAGCTGTTGCACTGAGGTCACAGCAGTCCCTCCAGCGAGAGCTAAAAGACCCAACATCTGGTGAGCTGGAGCAGTTAAGTCATTGTGCAAATTATTGGACTTCTGGGGCCTGCTGATCACTGCCATTGATTCCTGCCTCTGCAGTCAATTAGATCAATGGGGCATCTTTAGGCCTGCTTAGCCATGTGTCAACTGTCACACTCTGCTATCCCCTTCATTTGTACTGCAGCGCATGCTGCCAGTGCACAGATGGTAACCTATACAGTCCACTACAGCAATGTGGAGTGATGATGTGAAGCTGATGGACAAAGAGAGGTGCTGACAACTGAATGTTCACCCACTTAGAGAATCTCATTTCAAGTATCAGGCCTTGAATGTAAGCAAGTTTTTTTCAGCAGTTTGAAGTTCTTGTGGGATAATTTTATCACAATTTAACTTTTGTATCATGAGAATTTTTTAATGCTTTAATATTAAGAGTAACTTTAATTTTAAGGTGCTACAACCTGACCAATTTGGCTTGGTTACAAGAAGAAAAAAAAAGAAAACCTGAGTGTGTTTAGTTCGATAAAGATCTTGATATAAGGGGTCATAGCAGAGCAATGTTAAAAGTTTTGTTTACTGTATGATGCGGCGTTCCAGTTGTACTCAGAAGTCGAAATTTCCGAGCTCCAAGTCGGAAATTCATCTGGAACGCACTTTTGAAGTCAGATCTCTTACTCGGAAAGTCGGACGATCCTCACCAACCCCGACTTGACGACAACGTCATAATCCAAGATGTCAGTGCAGTGCATCAACAGTAAAGAGTAACAGTGAAAGCTCTCGTAATGTATTATTTATTAACATTTCTGTTTTGTTTTTGTGAAATTAAATAAGTCATATATGTTGTACTGCCCAACGTCTAACTGTGAGCACGGTGCTATGGTGTTTGTAAGAGTAAAATACTGTGTTCTGCGTTGTTTACAACTGGTATAGCTAACAACGGCTAACTGTAGGCGTCCATCTTGGTTTTACGACTTGTTAATTGGAACGCCATCAACTTGGGTGTAACTTCATTCCCAGCACCAACATCCGTCTTCTGAGGTAACTGGAACACAGCATTAAATAGCAGACTAATTTTTGTATCAGCCCATGCAAACATGCAAACCCATCAAAGTTTGTTCTAATTTGAAGTTGAAACATGCCAAAAGTGGAAAAGTACAAGAGTTTGAAACTTCTGCAAGGCGTTTTACAATGTTAGTTAGAAACTGGAAAACCAATAACTAAACTAACCAATAACTAAAAAGAAGCTAAAAGATTAAACTCTGATTGCAGTTTGACCACATTTGACAGGAATAAGTCAAAAAGACACTTGATAATTACTACCTCCTTTGCAGTCCAGCTCAAGGGCAATGTCTGTTGAGTATTGTTAACTTGTTTCCTTGAGCGAGAACACAATACAGAAATCCTACAATGAAACTATTCACTATTCTTACGACTGACGAGTCTTTGATTTCACATGAGTACAATCATTGTCAAATTTCTTTGAGAGATCAGCTGCCGTGCAATTCAATTCTAAAATATTAGAGAACAAATGTGACTTTCAACAAATGGTGAATTGGTTTGAAAGGTTTCGTGAGGACAGAGGGGATGACTGGCTATGATTTGACATATTTTCATAAAGCGTAGAGAGAAAAAATTACTCGATTTCTCTAAAAAGATAATAAGTCGAGGTGGTTTCAGACAACAAAAGCAGCGAGCCAAAGGATCGGTGCAGTAATGAGTTTCCAAAACAAGAACTTGCTAATGCAGACCACATGCCAACACTACAGTGCTGCTACCTTGTGACCCCTCGCCCCCTCAGCTGCCCACCTGTGAGCACGTTCACTCACAAACACGCATTTTACTCCCCTCCTACCCGCGGCCCACGTCAAGACCCTGGGAGATTGACCCCCCTCGCACACCCCTTTCCCCTCTCCTTTCTCCACTCCCACTGACCCCCTCAGCGACGGCCCATTGTTTACTTTCACTCTCCTCCACGGCCCTGCTGGTCCGGGGGGCCGGCCGAATCGTTACATTATTGTCTGGTCCTCCCTTGCACCCCCCTCCCTCCCCGACCCGGCCTGACCCCATTCACAGTCCTCAAAAGCACCATCTGTATCACCCAACAGTCAGGGAGTGAGAGAGAGAGGGAGAGACGGGGCAAGAAGGGGAAAGAAAACATGCGCGGAGAAAGGAGATGACGGCCGAGGAGGGAGGGAAAGGGAGAGGAAGGGAGAGAGGCATCTGAATGGGTGTTGCGCTGTCTGTCGGAAAGTATCTGTCAAATAGTTTTCACAGTGTGAAGGCTTCCCCGCTGCTTTCTTTTCTTCAAACATTGTGCTTATTGATTTTTTTACTGCCTCCTTTTATACCTTCCTTCAATTTCTCTTTTTCCACAATCTTCTAATCCTCCATGTTTTTTTTTTCCCACTCTGCGTATTTCCTCACTTTAACTTTTCTCATACTATCCTATATCGCCGTTCCCTTGACCTGCTTCTCTCTCTCTCCTTTCCTTCCCCTCCTCCTCCTCCTCCTCCTCCTCCTCCGAGTACATCCTTCATCTCGCTGCAGTGTTGCATGAGCATTCCAGGGCCTCTTGTATGGCTGCATGTGTGAGGAAGGCGGATTTTTCCCATGGGGCCGCAGGTGAAAACTGGGACTCACTCTGTCCGCCGAGGGACGCCATCTGTCCCTGTCGGCGCACTTGCTAGAGGGGGAGTCCTGTCACCCCTCCTCCTTCTTCTTTCCCCTCCATCCATCCCACCCTCTGTCCATCCTCTCGCCTTCTCTCCCTCCCTCATGCTGAATCACCCAGGAATGCACTCCCCTCTTTCCCTCCCCCCTCTTTCTCCTTTCTTCCCTCTCCGTCCCGTCACTAATTCATCCTTCGCTCCCCCTCTGTCTCCCCTCCCACTCTGCCTCTTTTTTTCCACCCACCTCTCTCCATCTCTAATCAATCATCCATATATGACACCAGCGGCAAAATTATTAAATTATCATACATTTGTGATGAGCCCAGTGAGAACAAGGGATACTGTTTTAATTGCCGGCTCATGACCTCTAATTATGCGTATCAGTGTATTAGTTTGATATTTAGAGGGAATGAAGTCAACCAAGTTTGACATTTTCCAGTAAATGAAGCAATGATATGCCCACTGTAACTGTGATGTGTTTAATAAAATGACCAGACATTACCGAAACGAAGGCGTGACATCGCATTAACCTGCGAGAGCAGATTTAAAAGGAAGAGACGTGTCTCTTTAAGAAATATATAAAAGCTACACAGGCTCAAGCTTATTAAAATCAGCATTGGAGATGATGCATTTTGTTTTTTTAGACATAATTTTTTTTTTTTATTTCAGCATCAAAACATGTTTGAGAAGCAGCCTGTTTCCATTTTTAGAAAACGCCGTAGCCACAAACTGGCATGCGGCGTAATTAGTCCCCCGAACTCGAGTAAACAAACTCAGGAGGTCACCCAGTGGGTCGCTAGCATGGGAACCAGAGAGGAAACCCCTCTGAGGTGCACTGCACCCTGCGTCGGCAGACCTGGGCCCAGCTGTCAGTGTCTGTATGAGTCGGTCTCAGCTCTGGTTCTGACTGCTGTGATGCCCCAACGGTCAGACGAGCGTGAGGGGGACAGTGAGAGCGCACTTTCACGTGGGAACCTGGCCGAGGCGCGCAGACAAACAAGCGCGGGGCAGCTAAGTGTGAAACCTCCAAACTGTCACGGAGAGGGTGAGAGAATGAGTGGATGACCCCCCACCCCCCCAATACTCCAAATCCCCCCAACCTCCATCCCCTCACCCCTTCTTCTAGTCTCCCTCTCTCGACTCTCCCATCCTGCCATCAGCCCTCCTCCTCCTCTCTCCCACCCTGAAAACTCTCAAAATCTCCACCCACAAAGCGTCCAGACAGACACTCACTTTGCCCCCCTCCCTTAACACCTCCACGCCCCCCTGTCAATCACAGATGAAGTGTCACGCAGTCACAGACACTGTCGGAGAGAAAGGGAAGAGGGAAAAAAATGGGAGGAAAAGTGGCCCGTCAGTCACTCTATCACTCTGTGCCCCCCTCGCTGGGTGATGGCACAAAGAGGGACAAGAAAAGAGTGTGAAGGGAGCAAATGAGAAGGCGATAGGGAAGGAAACAAGAGTGAAGGGGTTGTTGGAGAGAGAGCTGGACACAGAGGAGAGTTAAAGTGTCCCCATTTTCTCACTGGTCGACCGCAACAAAGAGCCAGGCGGGACACTCCACCGGGGTGGCGGTTTTTCGCCCGGGCCTCCCTTCGATCCCTGCCCCCCATCCCTGTGAGGTCACCCCTCTGGTGACCCCGCCTCGATTGTTTCCCGTCGCTCTGTCAGCTCCGATTGTTGCTGACTGGTTAAATGGCTGAAAACCAAAATGGAGGGGCCGGGGGTGGAAAAAAAAAGTGGAAAAGAAAGAGAAGGAGGGTGTTGATTTGGGAAGACGCCCCCTCTTCTTTTCCCTGAGATAACTGACTATTTGACCCAAATAAACAATCCTTCACCGAAAGAAGTGGCAGGAGAAGGAGGTGGAGGAGGAAGAGAAGAGTTCAGAGGGTTTGAAGTTGAAGTTGCTGAGTAGAGATGGTGAGATAGCGCCCCCTCTGTAGATAAAACTGTGGGGAGAAAGGTGTCAGGAGTGAATAGCGAGTCGCAGTTGGAGAAACGAAATAAAACTTTTTATGCAAGTAAACAAGGGCTGTATTCGACTCTGAATCTGTTCGGTGTGATGTGATTTGGCTGAGTTTTTTGAATAACCTTGTCTACTCTGAATTTTGAGAGTGAAAGTCAGCGACATGAAGTTAAGAGCTTTGGCGAAACACAAATCTTTGAACAGAAATTCAGGGATTTTTCAAGTTTAAGATTCGCTCGAGGAAACCTTTGTAGATAAACTAGTTCCTGTTAAAAACCTGGTGAATGATAGACCACTTTAGGGCTCAGTGAAATTTACAACTTCCCTTGCTGTTGTAAGGAGTAGATCTGACCAAATCTGTCTCAAACTTGAGGTCTTCTCCTCTCAACATTCCCACCATACCTTCAGTAAGTACAAGATGAAAACAACACACAAGAAGTTCAAGTCAGTGAGATAAAAAGTTACAATGGCCAACGAGTCAACAACATACAGACACTTCTCAAAATCTTAACATACATTCTCTGGTCTGCTTTCTCGACTAACAGGATGTTGAGTCAACGAACCTGAAGTCCAAGTGTCCAAGTCATAGTCTGGCCAAAGTTGACATTAAAGATTCTGAGTTGTGTCTGAGTGGAGTCCCCATAACCAAGACCAAGGCTAAGGTCTTGTACACATGTAGCCTGGTATTTTCGTAAATGGATATCCAACCCCCTCTGTTTAAAAAAAAGAGTCACGTACGCACATCATCATTTTCAAACAAAATCCTATCCACACAAAACCGCATAAATGTGCTGTCGACTGCGGTTATAAGCATGCCAGACTTGGAGTTGGTAGTATTTGCCAAAAAGTTAGATCCAATCAGACCAAGCGTTCCTTTCTCGTTGTCACTTCCCCAAACATAAAACATAGCACTGTGTAGTTCATTCATGAGGACCAACAAAGAGGTGGAAGATCTTTTAAGCATCGATTTGGAGTATAAAGTCAACAAGACACAAGAAATTGGAGGAAGGGGTATTTGGTGGAGAATAACCAACGTCAAAAGACTCCTTCTCCTTTGCTCCTCACGAAAATATATATTCTGTTCATATCTATGCCGTCCACTGCCTGACATAAACAAGGCCGCATAGTATAAAACATTTATCTCTTAGTTGTCATGGACAATGACGTTTTCCAAAATCTTCACTTTGGCCGTAGTTTTCCAAAAGCAAAGTTTTTAATGACGTAATCATGCAGTTCCATGTGGATGGCAGCCAAAACGTATAAAAATTTATTCGTTTTCGCAAATACCTGACTATGTGTGGACAAGGCCATAGTCTGGTCAAAGTTGACATGGAAGATTCTGAGTTGTGTCTGAGTAGAGTCTCCATAACCAAGACCGAGGCGAAGTTGTCTCAGTTGGGTCATCCATTTTTGAACCAAAAGGCAACCAATGCTTTTCACCATCAGGGCCTTTTACCTTTTGAACCTGTGGCTTACAGAACCAGAACCAGTCAGTGCTCATTACTCTTTTAAAATCCTATCTAAGGTGCTAAAAAGAAAAGTTGTGATTTTTTTTATAACCATGAGGATAAAGAAGACAAAAGGTGATGGATTGAGGAGGTCATTCTTTAAAGTGAGCAGTCCCTGTTGTAAAAGTAAAGTTTTATTGACTCCAGACACTTTAACACACTCTCTCTCTGCTCTGAATGGAGAGGAGTCAGCTACTAAGACAGCGCAAAGGACAACAGTGAAATCTAATGTAAAATTTGCCGTTCATATTGTATGATAAAATATTTTTTATGTCAAAGGGAGAGAATTATGTCATTCAATCAGGCTAAAAAAACATACTCAGCCCAATCTACCTAAAGTACAACAAACTGCCCAGTAATTACCCCTGAATCAGTGTTTTCAGACCCGTAAAAACCCACTGGGTCTCCTGAATGGATAAAGATTTCCTGGATAGCGACCTGAATGGCCTAACTATCTGACTGGGATGAGATAAGTGTTTAAAGACCTGGTCCTGATCAATTATGCAAGCATATCCATTCCCTCTGCTCCTTTCCAATCAAACAGCTAAATAAGCCATGGTCTGGACGGACTCTTTGCTCTAATTGGACAAATGGCTTGCTTAATTGATCATTGATTGATGATCAATAGGGAACATGTGTTCTCGTTCTTTACAAGGCAGGTGATTGAAAGCCAGCTATAAAATCAGCCAGATAGTTTGACAGATGCCGATAGGCTCTCATCACCTTACTGTAGAGGAAAAAGCAACGCGTGAGGGAGGAAGAGGAGGAGGAGATGGGGAGGTGTCTTCTAACTTCAAAATAAATCTGATTGGATTTCGCTAAAGTTATTGCAGTTCAGTGACTTCCCCTTAAATATATGTTATAACATTCAATAAAACAAGGAAACAACAATTTTTTGTCTGTTTTGCATTGAAAACACAACTTTATCTTTACCTTCATAGCATTGGAGTCCAAACACTGAAACCTCTTGGAAAAGTTTTGTTATTTCTTGAATACTGAGCCCTTAAATTAGCTGACATGATACTGGATGGGCATCATTTCTCTTTAATATTTTAACAAACTTGACAGCAAAGTTTTCTCACTCTATGTGCCTTAAAAGAGAATAATAGACCCATCAGTGTGGAAACAGTTAATATACACCTGAAATGGAAAAGAGTGTCTGATCCCGCCTGGTTTGGATGAAAAAGGGATGGTGTTTGCTCACTGTTTTTAAGATCATTTGCCATGTAAACACTTGATCCGGCTGTTTGCTCCTGATTGAGGTAGAACTATTCTACTGGGACTCTCTTCCTTTTGCAACAAGTTTCCACTTTTGGTATTGCTGGTGTAGGTAGACACTGTGGACGTGAGCAAAATTGTTTGCAGATGACACTACTTTTTTTTTCTGGAGATATCAAGATGGTCGAACATCTCGGTGGTCAAATAAGTAGGTAAGAACATAAATAAAATCTGGTCTTTTAGTGTTGCAGATGCCAGAAAGGAGCAAGACAATATGGCTGCAGACCTCTAATGGGAGGACCCACCTCCACTGAGTGGACCGGAAGTTTGAAGCCTTTCAAAATAAAAGCACATATGCCAGGAGTATGTTTTCTTTCTTTTTCTTTCTTTCTTTCTTATGATTATTATTCAATTTATTTTTTACATTGGAAAGTTCATTCGAAGCCTTTCAAATTAAAAGCAATTATTTTTGTCTCGTGAATATAATTTATTTCTTGTGGCTTTATTTAATGTATATAATGTTTATATGAATTTTTGTATGTATTTGTGTATTCATGTGTTCAACAAGGAGAAAATACAAAACGGGATGACCTTTAAACAAACTGGAGCACATGAGAAAAAACGTCTCCTCGGGTCCTTTTAGTCGAGGTCTGCAGCCAGATCCTTCTCGAAAGGAGAAGATGAAATTTGTAGTGCACAGTCACAGATGAACAGGGGAATAATTAGCCTCCATGCAGTGACAGTGGATTTTTTCTTGAACTTTATAACACATTTCATACAATGATGAAGCAACAGCAACAGCTGTTATGCAACAGAACAGGAGGGGGATCAGCTTTTTCTTCCCGTGCTATTTTTGGATTATTGGATGTCAGAGCAATTTTTGGATTTAAAATTAAAAAGGCCAAAAAGAAAAAAAATAAACATCTTCAATTGCACTAAAATAATCCAGTTCTTTCTAGTTAAATTAATTACAACTATTAGTCTGGTTTGGATTTCTTTCTCTGTGTTTTATCAAAGTGGTGAGGGCTCAAAATGATGCGCTCTCCTCGGCTCTTACGTGAAAACAGAAAGGGAGCTGCTTGTGCTATGAGGTTTATAGGTTTAACTAATTGAGTCAGGCTCTTTGACACAGTTACAACATGTGTAAATAGGTATGAAAGAAACAGAGATTGGACTAAATGTCATTTAAAGAGAAAAGAGAGGCTCTGCTCTCGATTTTTGTTCCATCTCCTTTTGCTCCTCTGTATGTGTATCACTTATCAGTCAAGACACCTGTTTGAAAGCCGCCGCGTGTGCGTGTGTGTTTATGTGTGCACAGAGAGAAGGTGGGCGTCTCAACAACCGCACCGTCCCGACAGAATAGGGGGACATCATTGTGGATCCCTTTGATCTGCTGCTCATAGATTCTCTTGAAAGGATCACGGAGAGAGACACAGGCAGAGAGAGAGGAGACACTTCAGCCCAGGCGTCAGTGGGCCTTTGCGCTCAGCCTCAGGTACCTCTCCCTGCTCTGTTTCCGAGCCAGCTCTATTAAATATGAAACGCTAAGACAAAAGGAG